ATCTCTTATATAATTATTTATATCAAAAAGATAACACTATTACTTATTTAAAAAGTATTATAAAATTAAAGAAAAAAATAATTTATTTAATATTAATAAAGAAATAAAACTTAAAATCTTTAATAATAATAAGAAAGAAAGAATATTAGAATATACTTATAAGACAGATACTGATTTTGATCTAAGATATTTAGAATTAAAAAATCTTGTTATTTTATTAGCTAAAATTATAACTATAAATTCTTATATTACTATTAAAATATCTAAAAAAATATTTTGTTAACTTACTTCTAGATCTTTTTTAGTTTATAAAGAAATAAAAGTAAAAATTAATATTATTAATACTAATTATATTAAGAATATTAAGATAATAATAGATAATAATTCTAATTAATTATATAATATATAATTAAATAAAAAGATAATATAAGCAATATTCTTATTTCTAGTAAAAATAATAAAAATTCAATCAATATTATTTAAAAAAATAAATAGAGATTAATAAGATTTTAATTTAACTAATAGAATAAGATTATTTAAAAAAAAGAAGTCTTTAATAAAAAAAAAAATAAAGATAAATATAAAAAAAAAATAATATTAATTAATTACTTTTAAATATTCAAGAAAGAATAAAAAAATAATTAAAAGTTTTAAATATATAAGTAAAAAATTATTATATTTAAATTAATAAAGAAAAATTTTTTTATTTAATATTTAAAAAATTAAAGAAAAATGAACTTATCAGTCTAAATAAATATTTTCATATTAATAATTACTTAATAATTGACTATTATAAATATAGTAAAAATAATTAATACTATAAATAAATAAAAATAATATTTAAACTACTTTATTAAATAGATGAAAAAGAAAAATTTAAAGAAACTAATTTAATACTAGAATAAAGATAATAATTAAAAAAAATTATTAAAAGAATATCAAGATTTATTTGATAAAAAATTCAAAAAAATTATAATTATTTAATATAAAATTAATATTAAAATTAAAGAATTAATAACTTTAAAATCATATTATCAATATTTATCTATTAAAAAGAATTTATAAAAGAAGAGATTTAAAGAATATTATAATAAAATATTATTTTATTCTCAGATAGTTCTTGATTTATATCTGTAATGATAGTTAAAAAGAAAAATAACAAATATAAATTTTATATAAACTATTATTAGTTAAATAAGATTATAAAAAAAGATCAATTTTCTTTATTTAGAATTGATAATTTACTTAATATATTTGGTAAAGCAAAATATTTTTTAACTTTTAACTTAATTTCTAAATATTAATAAGTAAAAGTAAAATCAGAAGATAGAAAAAAAATTACTTTTATTACTATTAATAATTTATATGAATTTAATATTATATCTTTTGAATTGAATAATATATTAATTACTTTTTAGTATTTAATAAATAAAATATTCAAATCTTATCTTGAAAAATTTATAATTATATATTTTTATAATACTAATATATTTTTAGATATCTTTGAAAAATATCTTAAATATATTTAATAAGCTTAGAAAAAATAATTTGAAATTTTAATCAAGTAAATATTAGTTTAACAAAATAATGCTTATTTTTCTTGAATATATTATTAATAAAAATAATCTGAAATCTGATTTTACTAAAATAACTATTATAAAATAATTTTCTAGATTAACTAATCTTACTATTTTAAGAAATTTTCTTAATTTAGCTTTATATTATAAATACTTCATAAAAAAGTTTACAAAAATAATTATATTTCTAAATTAACTAATAAGAAAAAAATAACTTTTTGAATAAATTATAAAATATTAAGAAATATTTGAAAAACTAAAGAATAGATTAATAACTGCATCTATTTTGATTTATTTAAATTTTGAAAAATCTTTTATCTTATATACTAATATTTCTAGTTTTGAACTTGAAGTAATCTTAATATAAAAAAATAAGAAAGTTATAAAATATGTAATTATTTATACTAATAAAAGAATTAATAATATTAAAAAAATTATTATACTATTAAATTAAAATATTTTATAATTATTTAGACTATATAACTATTCAGACAATACTTATATTCAAATATTTCTTTTATTTTAATAATTAATTATAATATTTTGAAGAGTTTATTTAATAAATTAAAGATTTTTAGAAAATTAATATACTAAATTATAATTTTAGAAGATTATAATTTTAAAATTAAATATTAAAAAACTAAATTTACTTAAATATAGATTTATTATTTGAATATTTCTAATTTAAACTAATTTAAATATATAAAGAATATAAAATATTATTAATAAATAATTATCTGATTTACTTTTATTTGATTATTTAATTTAATTATAATAAAATTACTTAAATATTCTTAACTTGTTAATTATCTAAATATCTTAGTTATATTAAAAGAAATCTTAAAAAAATTATTAAAAGTTTAAAAATAAAGTAAAATTATATTTAATAAAGAAAAAAATCTTATATAAATACACACCCCTACAATATATTACCGGAAATTGGTCATGCAAAATGCCGATCCAAAGTTTAAAAAGCCAATTTTATTGGCATCGTACATAATAACACAAACGTAACAATAAACAAAAAACAATTCCATTTTTTCTTTTTTTTATAATGCGCGGAAAGAAGTTGATGAACGAACAAAGGGAGCAAATAATCGGCACTTATCTCACTGGCGTCAAAGGTCTAAACCTTGCACTTAAATTCAATATTCCTCAAACAACAGTATATAATATCATCAAACGATATAAAGAAACCAATTCCTTGCATCCTGAAAAACGTTCTGGTTGGCCAAAAACTCTGACCAATAATGAAAAGCGTACATTAAAATGAGTTATTCTAAAAAATCGGTTTTCTTCACTTGGTGAAATCACAAATAAACTAAACGACAAACTCAACACTACTTACCATGCTAATACCATCCGCAAATACATGGATGAAATAGGATTCGGAAGCTATACTCCAAGAAAAAAACCTCTTTTGACGCCAAATCAAGAACTTCGTCGATTAAATTAGTGCCAGGAGAAATGTGACTGGGAAGCGCAATGGAAAAATATAATCTGGTCTGACGAGTCCAAATTCGCACTTTTCGAATCAGATGGCCGGGTAAGAGTATGGCGGAAACCTGGTGAAGCTTACCATCAAGAATGCATTAAACCTACTATTAAATTTGGTGGAGGATCAGTGATGTTTTGGGGGTGTTTCGGTTGGGATGGGGTTGGTCCTTTGGTGCCAATAGAAGAAATCATAAATTCAGATGTTTATGTTAATATTCTCGCTAATTATTTTGTACCCTGGGCTCGCCAATATCCATACGCTACGTTTCAACAAGATGGTGCGCCATGTCATACCTCGATATATACGACTTGATGGATGTCAATACATGGCATTCGACTTTTGGATTGGGTTGGTCAAAGCCCTGACCTCAATCCGATTGAACATCTGTGGGATATTTTGGACCGCCAGATTCGAAAAAGAAGACCGTTACCTACATCAAAGCAAGAATTAATTCGTATGTTACAAGAGGAATGGGTGAGTATTGATTTGGAAACTTTGCGTGGGTTAATTTTGAGTCTACCTAGACGCGTAAACAAAGTTATTGAAGCCAATGGCAAAAGCACGCCATATTAATTTGTAGGTTCTTAAATTTGAACCAATATAACTGTATATTTATCATTTTATTTTTCTTTAATTTATCGTATGTTTAATAAATATGATAATTTTTTATTCGATAATAAAAACTTTGATTCGTTGAATGATCGACATTAAATTTCCGGTAATATATTGTGGGGGTGTGTAATAAAATTAATTTATTAGTAAAATTATTTTTATTTATAAATTATAAATATTTTTTTATTTTTATTTTATAATAAAGTTAATATTTTTATTTTAATATCTTTTAAATTTATTAAATATTTTAAATAAAATAAAATTAATTAATTATTATTAATAAAAATTAATTTATTTATAATATTATATATTAAAATTAATAAATATTTTAGAACTTTACTTATTTCTTAAATTAATAAGTTATTATAAAAAATTAAGTAAAAAATTCTTAATTATAATCTAGTATTCTTATATAAAGATAAAGAATATAAATAATTTATATAAGTATAACAAATATTTAAAAATCTCAAATAATATTTCATTTTAGTATTAGTCTTATTATCTAATTCTAAACTACTATTCATAATTATTACTAGATATTTTTAAAATATTTTATATTAAGATTTCTTATTTAAAAACAAATTATGCTTAAAATAAACTAATAAAAAGAAAAAATAATATTCAAATATTTTTAAAATTTATTTTAAATTAAAATTCTTATTTTAAATCTTAAAAATATCTGTTGATTTTTTTTATTTCTAAATTATAAAAATATTTCATCATGATTTTTTACTAAAATTATTTAAAAATAAGTCAAAATATTCAATTTTGAAAGATCTTATTTTAATCTGAATAAAAATTATCAGATTTTATTAAGTAAAACTGAAAATTTAAATTAATTACAGTATAAATGAATAAAGATTAATTTTACTAAGATTATTATTAGATTTGTTAATATAATCTTTAAAAAATTATATAAATTTGAATTTTTATAATTCTATGAAATTCTGAGAATTTTCTAATGAAAAATTTGAATATTTTTATAGAAAAAAGTGATTAATAAATATATAATTATTTTTATTTCTTATATATTTAATAATAAATATCTGCTAAAAAGCTTCATTATAAATAGTAATTTATGTGTGATATATTCATTTTAGAATTTAATTACAAAAATTGTGATTTGTGTACAAGCCACTGCAAATGATCTTTTAGAACTTTAAAGAAACTGTAAATTATTCATACAAATGCTATAATTGTTTAATGTTTGAATAAATCCATTTGTTCAAGCATAATAATACTTTATTCAAATAGATCCCTTGTAAATTTTAAGCTAAATATCTTTGTAAAAGTAGATTGAATCATTATACTATTCATTCCAATATGGTAAAATGATCATTTTTCTAAAGTGAAAATGAATTATTATGGAAATAACTAAAAAAATTAACTATGATGAATATTTGATAATAATAACATCGTTATGCAACTTTGAATTATTTATAAACCTGAGTAGCATTCACAAGGAAAAATTTGCACATCGCGATTTTTAATCCTGGAAACATATTATTAATGGTATCGCCCAACATTTTAACGCCCATTTTCCCTGCGAAAAGAGAATACTACAAAAAAAATAGAAAAAATGGCTTTTTCGAGTCGCAGTGAGATCGGGTAGATTATTTACTGTAAGCGAACCAACTCATTGTCCCACGCAGGAGTTCTTCCATTGTTAAAGTCCAAAATTTTTTACAAGAGCTCGAGACAATAAAATGATAACATTAGATTGAACCATTATTAGCAATGTTATCTCAATTAAACGTATATTGATAGAGCATCGAAAATAGGACCGTAGAAGATTAGTTGAAGTAATATGGTCAGACGAGTCAAAATTTTAAGGCTTTTGGATCTAACGGATCGTTTTGTAAGTTCTATAAATATACTTCGTGAGCATCTAATCAAGGATTGCGGTTTACTGTTAACGAGGTCGTTTCTAAGCCGTGGACCCTAAACATATAGCGAAAATTTAACGAAGCAGATGAAGGCTTTGGATTGGCTAATTTAATCTACCATTGAACATTTGTGAAACGAAGCTGATCGTCGTCGTCTCCCGGTCAAAGGAACAACTTTAGCGAGAAATCATCGACGCCTGCACTAACCTGATCCATTCAATGCTGGCAAGACAAGAATTCGCAATGTATAAGACTATACAAGATGATAATCGTGTCGAATTCAATCTAGAGTAAAAAAAACTTGAGTGTTGCTTTAGAAAAAGAAAATAAATAATTACAACGGCCTTATTAAATAATAAAAATATCTGTGATATACGAAAAAAATGAACCCGGTTTCGGTAAGAAAAACAAACGATTGTGAGTAGCCTATAAAAGCTGTATCGTAAAGCAGCCCGTATTAAAACGAAAACAAAGCTGTAGTGCCAACAGTTTTGTTGACAGCTCTGGGATTCAGCCTAAGATGCATCGCTAATTAACTTACCTTATAATGACTGTGAATTATTCTTGTAAGGTGGGACCCACAATATATCTCACCTTTATGGTATTCTTGGAGCCATCCGTAATCAAATCGTAAGATATGAAATGTTAATAGCGTTTTCATTAAGGTATGTTATTAGTGTTCGCAATTTCGTTGTTTCTTCCTCAGTCACTACCTCAAAATTTCAAACATGCTGATTGTTAGTGAACTAGCTTATAAAAAATATAAGGAAAACAGAAAGTATTTTTTTTTCTATAATCGTAGGAAACCCTTTTTATATATACTTGACTCTTATATTAAATTTGACGCGTGGTAATATCGATACGGATCATGCTATGTTTCATGGGTAAACAAATCAAACCGTATAGCGTTTAGGTTTCTTGTGAATAAAAAAACTTTAGTCATTGATATTATTTTTTATATTTTTGACAGATATACGCTTGCGATGAGCAAGCAATCGTTTGGCTTGTTGTAAGAAAATTTTTCAATTGAAGGAGGAATCGAATTTTTGATGATAGTATTATTTAAAGTTAGGGTGTGTATGCATCACTAGAGTAAGGGCAAAAAATTCAGCGTTTTGCTATTCTCACTAATTGTAATGTATAATGTCATAGCGATCGATCGATAGTTTATTATATAGAATGCTACCGATTTGCTTGGGCTACAGATTTTTGACTGTAGAGTACTACGTATTTTAAAGTCGATTCCTGTGCCGATATCTACGAATTACGTGCGTTACTAAAGTGAATATTTTTAATAAATAATTTAGGTCGTGGGGACTGGCGTCATAAAGATTCGGAAGTTTTAAATTTACATTCACATTGCAATAATTATCACGTTATGAGGAAATACTGGAAGATTTCGGGATTAGGTAAGATAAATCTTAGGCGTGGAAATGTGGTAACGCAACGATATACTGACGTTGAACGACTGTCTTTTCTAGACAAAAGCTTTAAACTTAAAGTGGAACATGTCTTAACTTTCCGCCACATACGTATTGGTTTTCAATTAAATATCAATACATGTATGACTAATTTTTATCTTTCCCACGATGAGTACGTGTACATGACTAATTTTTATCTTTGTGATTATTATTTCCCACGATGATACATGTATAACGATAACGATAATATTTATAATAACGAAAATTATAATCAGGATGAAGTCATATTAACCATTATTAATAATACAGTTAATAATACAGTATATTGATATTTAATTGAAACAAATAATATGGCGGAAGGTTAAGTGGTTAACAAAAATTTTATTCTATAATAACATGATCCATTTTAAACTGATAAGAAAATAAAGTCGGTTTTATTTTACGAATTGCAAAAAGAGAAACATAATTACTATACATACTATACATATAAATAAAATATTGACACCAGTTTGTGCCATTAGTGAAGTGATAAAAACCATTTTTAATTACCATATATAAAGACAAAAGCCCTTTCCGAATATTAATTGTATTACAACAGCCATTATAGTGAATTTTACATAAAATAGCTATGGGTATGTGGCGAATTGCAATCTATACATATAAATAAAATATTGACACCAGTTTGTGCCATTAGTGAAGTGATAAAAACCATTTTCAATTACCATATATAAAGACAAAAGCCTTTTCCGAATATTAATTATATTACAACAGCCATTATAGTGAGTGGATTTTACATAAAATAGCCATGGGTATTGTGGCGAATTGCAATCTCGTGTCAGCTGGCAATCCCCGTTTCAGCAGACAGTTTTGTTACATCACACAATCATGATTACTTTGATCAGTTAATTTATTAAACATTTATTTGTCAGGGATTCGTAATATTTTTGCTCACAAGAACGTGATTTCGTGTAATAGTTTTCAAATACATATAAAAGGAGTTGAATAATTACTTTTTTCCTCAATTTTTTCTTGATTCGAAAAACTGAATAACATATTAATTATAAACCACCACCACCAACAAAATCCACAAAGGGTTCGCAACATACGTGGTTCATCAGCAGCTTCAGAAGCAACAATATCAACAACTGTTTTACCACCAGCAGCAACAACAGCAAAAACAACAACAAAAACAATACAACAACTGCCAACTGCAGCAGCGACAAGAACAACAGCAACGACGTCGTCAGCAGCATCAACAAATGATGGCCGATTATTTGTACAAGCTACTTCTGCTATAGCTTTTACAAGCTACTCATGTGACAGTGGTTAATTTTCTCGCTGAACCCGGATGGTTACAAGAATAATAACACGTTCGCCATAAAGGTAAGTTAACAAGCAAAGTATCTTAGGGAAAATTGTTTGCGCCGCAGCTTTGTTTTTCGTTTTAATATGGGCTGCTTTACGATACAACTATATAAGCTACTTACTATTGTTTGTTGTTTTATTTGTTTGTTTTCTCGCTGGAACCGGGTTCATTATTTTCATATATTTGTAGTGGGAACTTTTGTTAACG